CCTCCAGCAGTAATGCCAGGCTTAGGGCAGGCTCCTTTTTGGCTGGGTTTTTCCATGTTTACTCTAGTTACAGGACAACATTTACAAAGAAAGAGTTACACAAGTGATTTTAAAGAGGCAGGGCGAGGATGCAGCCTATTGTTAAGGCTGCACTTCCCACCGCCGGACCCTGCTCTGATTTGTTTCTAACACTTGAGCCACTCGCTCTGAAATTTCCCATGCTGTTGGGAAGCTTCCCACACTGTTCTGCAGGCCCTTTGGAAAACAGGGATTTGCAATCACCATTCCATAGTATGTACATATGTACACACATCTAGATGGAGAAAATGGACTTCACTGCACACAGACAACCTGAATTTTGGCAGGTTCTCAGGGTGAGCAGTTCGTTAAAGAAGTTATTTCCTAAGAAAATAAATTGGAGTCTGGAGAACTATAATGACCCATTGTCTTGGGTCACTGACAAGGTTCACCAGTTTTGAGCCATGAAGCATCTCTCTACTACTTGACTTGACCAACAACCAGCAGTGGCACCAGGCTCTCCTCCTAAGGACCAGCCACTAGAGGGGGTGACACTGTACGCCTTGGCCATAATTTTCTCCATTTATCTGCTGACTCCAGGGAAGAGAAACATGGAAGACTACAGCTGGGGGGAGGACAAATCTCTGGATCCTTCACACCTACTGACCATACCAACACTTATCTCAATGCCATGTAGCACTCTCCTCTCTCCCACAAGCCCTTTTCCACCCAGTCCAGCCCATCCCCTCTTCCCACCTCCATCTCCTACGGTCCTGCCATACCTGCCCCTTTCCCTTGCACACCCTGCCGGACTCCGGCCAAGCTGCTCCCTCCTCTTCTCCCTGTTCAGCAAAGCACAAACCTGGGGGCCTACAAACCAAAAGCAATGGGCAACAACAGACCTGGGGCTCTGTCCCGACAGAGCATCATCTATCTTATCTGTAACAACTCCCAAGGAAGGAGGTTTCCTAGCCTCCCTAGGTGGTCTTGCGACAGTTTCATGATGATAACAGGATGTTTTCTCAACATCCAACCTAAATCACCCTGGCAAATTAGCAAATCAGTAAATTAAGCTGCCATGGAAATCTGGGACTTTAATAACCACTATTACATGTTGGCAGACTGCTAGATTGCACAATAGTTTTCTTTTTGTTGCGCTGAATAAATTTAATTCTTTCAACCTCTTCTCACGTTTCTTAATCTCTTCTCGTTGTTTCCTTCTGGACACTTTCCAGTATGCCTGTGTCCTCCTCGGAGCAGGGCACCCAAAACCGGATTCGATGACACTGATGATGCCCCCGCAGTGCCACACATGAGTAAGTCACCTCCTGCACCTTACAGAGGACACTCCTTCAATATAACTCAAAACAAGATTTGTCTCTTTTGCAATAGCCTCTCGCTGATAATTCATTCGTGGTCCACTAAAAATCCTCAGCCTTTTTCTATCCATCCCTCTCCAGCTTAAACCTGACTTAGTAAATGTGCATTTTGATTTCTTTTTAGCAAATGAAGCACGCTGTGGCTGCTTTTGTCTCTTATCTGGATGCACTCTCCAATTTCTTAAGGTCACTCTGAACCCTGACCCTGTTCTCCCAAGTGCCTGCAACCCCTCCCAACCTGATGTCATCCGAGAGCTTTATAAACATACTTCCATCTTCCAAATCATGACTGAAAATACTGCAAGTTTTCCCCCAGAAAGTGACCTTGCTGATATATCACACATTACTGCACTACTTGGATCAGTGGAGAGATGAAAGTGCAAATCTTTTTCAAGCTTCATTCTCTGTGAAGATATTTAAAAATGCCACGTTTATCTGGTAGGCTGCAACTTCTGAAAATACATTAATTAAAAACTAATTCATGTGGTAAAGGTAGGATGCATTAAATTCAATAGGAACTAACTAATGAAATTAATAAATACAACGAGAAGGCTGTTTCCCAGTGAACTCTGTTTCTGGGGTCAGCCAGCTACAATTTGTCAGCCACAGGCTTAAGACAACCGAAGCCGTCGGATGAACCCAGCAGTGCAACCTTTTCCATCCTGCCACATGAAGACAAAGATTCAACAAATAATGAATCATAACCGATTTCTGGGATCAACACAAGAAGAGAAGTATATCAGGGTACAGTTCATTTCAAACTGTCGCATTACTTTCATAATGCTGGAGCCACCAGGTGCCATTTCTAAATTATTTTAATATCACAGTATGCAGAAGCCAAACCAGATTTCTCATCAGAGTTAAGAATCTAAAGTTATTCTATATAAAGTCTAGTTTTAATAGATCATACCAAGTTATTGCCCCAGCTCTACTCAAGATTCCCAAACAAAGCAGGAAGATAAGGATCCAGGGAGTCTCCGGCAGGATGAGCACCCACCGCCCAACATAGAGTCATAGAATGGTTTGGGTTGGAGGGGACCTTAAAGATCATCTAGTTCCAATCCCCCTGCCATGGGCAGGGACACCTCCCACTAGACCAGGTTGCTCAAAGCCCCATCCAACACAAAAGGAGCTTGGGAAACTCTGGTTACAGAATTTCTATAGCTGAACAAATACAACCTCTGAGAAAACGTTCTGGAGATTTAAGAAACAGACACTTTAAAAACCCATTTTAATTGGAAAAAAACATTTTTCCATTATTTTCTTTTCATTGCTTTTAACCCTACAAACCATTATTTTCCTAAACATTTTTCAGCTGCAGCATTTCCATGACATGCAAAAGACCCTCTCTCAGGCAAAGCCTTCTGAAACAACTACAGGGAAAGCATGTGCAACCTTATACACGTTAATACTGGAGTACGCTTCTTGGCATCACGAATCCAGGTAAATCTCTGCCTTCAGAAACCAACTCACGAGAAGGAATTTTCCCCTTCTCTTTCCAGTGTGCTCAAGCTTACTGTTATTCAGCGTAATTCTACTATACCAGAAGTTGCACTTTCAGGCTCCAAAACATTTTTTTTTAACAGTCTGTGCATATAAACAGCTTTCTACATTGCATATTTATAAATAACATTGTGCAAAATTCTCACCCATAAAACAGGAGTTAATGCAGTTCCCAAGGTCCAAAGTTGCTGACAGCACCGGTGAGACTGCTAAATATCTGCAGCTCCTGACCTAGCGCAAGCAACAACGTTTCTATTTGCAATGAGTTAAGAAAACCGCTTTTACTAACCACAAAATGGCTCTGTAATGAGAAGGCAATGAGCACCTGAAAGACTTCTGGCTACAAAAGAAGTCAGCACTAAATAAAGCAGAGACAGGACAAGGCAGGATATGCACACTTCGCGATGGCTTTCACTGGCCAGATCTTTACCCAACCTACACGTGTGAATTAAGCTCTATTTATAAGTCTTCCACTGATTTTTTTTTTTTTAAACGACCTTAATATAGTGCAGTTGTTGTTTTGTTTCTGTTGAACTTAGCAACAGGAAACCCTGTCAGTCCTGCAGCAAACTTTCCATTCCCCTGGCACTCCCATTCCTGCACCAGAAAAGCCAGATTTCTAAAGAGGTGTTTAACGGGGTGGGAGGGAGAGGAAGAAGAGAAGAAAGCACACACACAAAAAATCTAAATGCCTGTAAAACATGCAAAATGGAAGCCAAATATGTTTCTTTTCTTTTTTCTCCTGTTTGAAAGGAAAAGGCAGTGCCCTAATTTGCATTTTCTAAAGATATCTTACTTTACTACCAGAAACCTAAGTATTAGTCCTGAAAATTATCTTTAATAAAGGGTTGGTAAAAAAAAAATCATCAGTATCTTTACACTTACGCATTCCAGTAACAAAAGACTTACTTATCGGACAGCACAAATTTTAGCTTGGGAAGTTATTTGCGCTCGTTCCCGGCTAACTCACCAAGCAAACAGCTACAGAAATTAAGCCTTAACTTGTTAAAAACAAAATAAACCTGATTTTATTACAAGCTTTGGCAAGACTGTTCTGCCGCCTAAAGAGCTTTACTGCAGGATGAGCGAAGTTTTTTGGTGCTCCACCCTGCAATGTTAACTCATCCCCGCAATATTTTCTTTTTTAACAGCTTCATAATGGTACACTAACACACAAACACAGCTGCTCAAGGGCAACATGCACCAACACAGGCTGCAAGCATTTTAGCATTTACAAAACACTTTCTTTTTCAGGAACAAGAAACTATATATAAAATAGAGGAGCAAATGCAAATCCAGCTAGGAAAGGTGACACCAAAAACCCCAGCTCTTTATGAAGCAGAATATGTATTAGGGGTGCTTTAAACCAAAATTACATTCCTGTCAAGCCCAATATTCACTTTTTTTTTATCATAGACAGTCCTTAAATATGGCAAAGCACAAATAATAGAAAACAATACCAACTGATTTCTGATCCCTGGCATGTCCTTTTTATAGGTCACCGACATGAGGAATATGGGGTTTCCCCCCACATTTGATCCCTATATATTTTCCCATTATTAATTTTTCTTCCAGCAAAGGCACTAATGCTCCCAGCCAGTGATGTCTTTAGACCTTGGAGTCTGTGCACACACCAACACCGACCACAGCCACGGTCCCCTCTGCCAAAAAGCTCCCTGGAGGGGCAAAGCGTGAGAGGGGATAGAGAGACTCGTCAGGACCACGCACGTGGGGGGACCTCGGAGGCGCTGCCAGCCCCCACGCAGCATTGCCAACCTCAAGCATGCTACAGGGCATCGCTTTCATCAAATTATATACAAATCTTGGTACAGCCCTGCCTCACGAGGAACCGTTTGGGTCAATCTCTATGTCACTGACTGAGACAACATAAATGTGGCTTAATCCAGTGGTTGAAAAACACAAGGTCTAAAAAAGCCCATGCTTTTTTAAAAGGCTAAAACGTCACGGTGATGGACACATTCAGCTCTGCAAAGACTACAGAAAGGAAACCAGCAGGTTAGGTGGCCGGCCGCAGCAGCGGTGGCATTTCTTTAAAAAGCACAGAAAAAGACAAGGTGACAACACATAAGTGGCACTCACCGCTTCCTCGCGGGCTGCGCTCTCACCACCATCTTTCAGAAAATCCACCTCGTCTTCAGTTTTCATTTCCAACTTCCCTGTGAAAACAGAGGGTTCACACAGGCAATTTAAAAACAAACTTCTTTCAGTGCTGCTGCTATTTTTCTGTTTATTCAAACCAGTCTCAAAAAAAAAGAAAAGAAAACCCAACCCCAAAACCCCTTCAACAAGTCCATTTGACTTCCAACATCTGGTTTCATTCCCGACTTTGCCGCTTGTTTGTTATTAGTTTTAACAACTTTCATGTCTGGGACTGAAGGAAACTATGAAACAGCAGCAAGCACGGGGTGAAACTCCTGAAAAGCTCTAGGTGAGGCTGAGCACATCTGCATGTATTTGCCCATGTATTTTCTTGGCTCACATTTGTCTAGTTAAAGAACCAAAATTTTTGCTGTTTTTCTTCTTACCATAACCCGAAGATAACACAAGAAACCAGCCTTGCCTTTTCTCAACAGGTATTTTAAGTGTTGGAAAAAAAAAATCACAAACTTCAAAAATTCAGCCCACCTGCACTGTCTTCAGGATGACAATTAGGTCTCTAGACTAAGAAGGCAAACCCTTTTCTGCTGGAGTTTACAAAGTCCCAGCTGATTTTCCCCCTCCTCATGCTCCCACGATGGGAGTGTCACCACTGCAGTGGTACAAACATCATGTCCCAGCTGCTTTCTCTGCCCAGCAAAGCTTTCATTAGTCACCATTCCCCTGGGGTTTCCGTCTACCTATGTTTTCCTGGCATAAAGTCAATGTTCTAACTCTTTCAACCCTAAGCTAATGACTCTCATGACACACAGGATACTTAGGTATTTTAAGTGTTGGTTGACCAAAGCCACCCAGATGGAGAGTGGCTCTGTCAGGGCTAAACCCCCCTCTAATCCCACTCCCTCTCTCATTCCTACTAAAAACAAACACTGGATGGATGGCAATGCCTTCTTAAGGGCGACGTATGTTTGCAGTTGAGTTTACCCGTTCAGGGATTTAGCAAGAGGAGCCTCCCATCTTCACAGGGAAATTGCGGTAACAACTGTCACCAATGGTTTTCCATTGGCATTGAAGTCTACCCTTGATTTTGGGACTATCTGGTTTTGCAAAGTTCTACTGATAAACCAGTCCAACATCATTAAGTCAAATTGGCATGATTTTGTCTCGATTAGATGAGTTTGTGGGCAGACTCTCAGAAATCAGAGGTAATGCTACAAATTTCTGCAAGCCCCATTTGTTGGCAAAGCAGATTTCTCGGTCGCAATGAGATCTGCTCGGGGTCGTGGCAATGCTGTGATGGTTGAGATCTTGGTCCAAAGACAGAACACACAATGCACAAACCTCTGGTGCACTGATGACAGGAGAAGCAAGCAGTGTAGTGATACTCTGTGCTGGGTAAGAACTGGAGGACGAAGACATGTGCCCTCAGGACGAAATTCAAGGGGACAATTTTTTCCACTCTGCCACTTCTTCTTAAGCTTCTATTAAGAAACATATCTCAAACAAAAAGCACTATAATGCTATCACAGCGGACTCTGGGGCATAGAGCACCTTATCACATGTGTGGTATCGTTAGTGACATCTGTTATCGGTTCACCCTGCTATTCTAACAGGTGAAGGAAATCATAGTAAGTGCATTTCCATAGGGAAAATGCCATTGATGAGAATGAGGTGAAGACTGGTAAAATTCAAGATAAGATGGTATTCTTCTATCTGGCAATGAATATTTTCTTTAAATGCCGAGATCTACAAAAGATACACTAGGGATATTTCTCCCAGGAGAAGAGCTAGGGAGCAGTGATTATAGTACTTGTTAATTTAAGATGCCAAGCCCCAACCATACAACCTAACCTTGCCGGAGTCGCTTTCTGCCAAGAAGGTGCATCTACTCGGAGGTGTTTTGTCAGCATCAACACATGCCATCTCTTCTCTTCTCACCCAGCCTGGCTACTGTGGTATGATTTCATATCCTAACTGCCTGCTTTTTTAATGAGTAGCATCTATCTGCCCGACTTGAAATAACGTGCTTGCAGAACCCATTACTCAGCTGCAATGCAGTTCTGAGTCTAAAGCTAACAGCATGAGGAGCCGCCTTATGAAAGTAGGATCTTCTAGCTTCATCGCCTTCCTTCAGTGTTGTGATCAGTCACTAGATATTTGTCTGGATAAGGCAATTAGACCTGTGAGGTCTCCATTTTGGGGGTAGGCTGAAACTAAGTGGAGGCAATGAGATAAACAGGCATATATTTGGGAGCAATTTCACAATAGAAATAAAAAAATTAAAGACCTCAATGATTTGGAGTAATGGCACCAGCAATTATCAGCCAGTTACATCTCTGATAAATTAGCATGACAATAAACCCCTCTGACCACATGCGTTTCTGAGAAATGGCCTCATGACCTACACTTCCTTTGGGAAGGTTTTATTGTAGTCTGTCAAAAAAAGATCTGATTCATTCTGAACACTGACGACTCCTGCATGGCTACAAAATACTCTGTACAAACCCAGCCTGCAGGGAAAACTCCCCAGCACTGACACAGCAAAGAAGAATTGACACAAAGAATTGAAGGCTGCCACCGAACTCATACACAAAACGCGCTACCCAAAGCTTAGACATTGACATGAAGAATGTACACAGCAATAATAATAAACAGTAAATCTGTTCTTTTGAACTACTGCCATATCAGAGTTCTAGATGCTGCTTTATAGGAGTTGAATTTCAGAAATATTTCAAATAGCGAGCTTGGATTCGTGGCAGTCGTTTGTCTCTGCTTTAAGCTAATATTTTATTCGGGCTTTCCTAACATTTTGCCTCAGAGCAACCCGAAAGTTCTTCAAGAGAAGATATTCCAGCTGAAATTTTGCTTTGTGCAGCATCCCACTACAAATAAACAATTCTTCCTTACGGAGAGGTCAGACCATTGTATTCTGAGAACTTTTAGCCCTAAATCCTTAGGGCTAAAGTCAGTAACAGGATCACCTCCTTTTTTCCCCCCCTTTCCATACCCTAACACAGAATGATGCCTTAATATTACTTTCCTACTTCAATCACTATCTTATTGTACTGTTTAGTCCCTTCTCCTTTTAAAACCTCGCCTAGACAACGTCATGCCTCCAAGAAACCAACCAGAGATAAAGACCTGGACTGTATGGACGGAGCCGGCAGAGCGGGAGGCTCCCAGAAAAAAGGAGCCCTGCCAGGTATTCACTTACAGCCACTCCCGTCCTATTGAACTGTCAATCCACCACCGCACTAAAATAGGTTCTTTCTGAAAACAGCTTTCTAATCCACCTTTAAATCTTTCTACTTACTTACTAATGAACTCCTGACTAATGTTTACTGGTTATCTCCCGACACATGAACTTTCTAAAATCCTGAATTCAATGAAAAAAGGATTTGCTGGACCCACCACTGACACCCCCACCCCCCCAAATCAATCCTTTCCCCTGCCCCCAGTTATTCTGCTACCACATATCAGAACAAATCCTCTGCCATCACCCCATTCTGCATTCAGACTGAAGAAACAGCTCCCAGAATCAAAGCAGTGAAATAGCTTTAGAGCTTTACAACTTCACGATTCTTATCATGGCAGATTTTTGTTTTCTTCTGATCATTTAAATGTTTTGTTTGTTTGTTTGTTCAGTGCTGGGAAAGCAAGAGGCACTGGATCATTTTCTCATAGCAAAGAAAAAAATGGCAACTGAAAAAGTTCAGCTGCTTCCATTTAACAGCTGCCTGAACAGGTGGAATATAAAGATCAGATTAGCTCCACGCTTCAGTAGCAAATTCACCTATGATTTAATTTCAGGCTGGAGCGACAAACCCATTTCTCTTTCATTCAATTTATCCCTTTATTTCCCTTTTTGGAGTTACCTGGTGATGTTTTCTATTAGCTCCTGTCGCACAGGCACCAGACGTCTACGCTGTCCCCCAAGTCCCACTGCTCTCCCCCATCACCACTCATCCACGGGGAACGCCGGTCCCGCTACCCAGCCGATGGCAGCAAGCAGAACTCATCATCTGAGTTCCAGTACTGCTTAAATGCACTGGAAAACACCACTGGCTGCTCTGCCTGACAAAAAAGCTTTGCAGCCCGGAAAAGGCGGTGGGGGTAGGGCTGGCTGGCTTTTTTAAATGACCTAATACCGCCAATTAGGAAGTGGCTTTGCGCAGTTCAGAAGGACACTGGCAGCTGTTTCAAGTAGGCGAGCACAGAAAATGCAAGAGCCCCCCGTTGTACCCTCTGACTCCACGTTAGCAAAAATAAAGGGGAGAAGTGAAGGAATAGCACTAAGCAAATAAACCCTCATGCCCACATGAAAGCATATAACTTGAAGATACAGTAATCCACATAGCTCCCTCCCATTCATTCCTTCTCCAGGGAGGATTCACGTGCTAGAAATTCTTCTGCACAAATTCACAGGAGATAATATCCTGTCCTTCCCTCCAGTGCCAGCCAAGCAACACGCATTTGAACTGGAAGTTTTAATATGTAACTTCAGATTTCTTCTTTCTCAGAAGAAAAACCCCAAACACCTACACTTCCTCTGCAAGGTAGGCCTCCTGCTCTTATTTCCCTTCCTTTGCCGATGAGACGCTAGAGGCACACCTACACAAAAAAAAACTAAAAAGCAGGAAACCAGCTGATTTTTCCTACCTGTAACAGGCTCAGCTCGTTGCGCTGCCGGGCTGACATTCTTCTTCTTTGTCAAGGAACTTAAATCCATTTCTCCGTTAAGGCTGGCTCCCACATCCACTACAGCCTGGGGCTCAAGCCCCACTTTTTCTGTGGCTGGTAATTCAGGGGAACAAGGTGTCTCTGCTGCAAAAACCACTGCATCAAAACTTTTTACCATTTTAGGAACTTTATCCAGACAGGAGCCATCATCTGCCGAAACCAAACTCTTTACTCCCACATTTTCCAGTGACTCAACAGCATGTAAACGGCACGAACACGGTGAGAAGGGCAATTCAGGTACAGCTCGGCTCTGCTTTCCATCGGGCTCAGCCAAGACCTCCCCCTGAGCCGCTTTCGCAGCGGGACCAGCATTGCTCTCGCCGGCCAGACAAACGGTGTCAGTGCTGGAGTCACTGTCGCACGTGGGTTCTTCTGCGATGGGCTGAAGCGCTGCCCGGGGAAGCACACTTTCCGTATCCTCCTGCTCTTCTGGATACAGAGCGACGGGGGTTATTGTCACCGGCCTTAAGACTTCCTTACCCTCACAGGCATCACTCGGGGCTCCCATTTCTGAAGCATCCTTTAATTCAGGGGTGCTGCTGCATGGGGAGATTCGTTGTAGGGTTTGACTGGGATCATGCTGGTTCAGCCCCGCATCCGGACAAGGGTCGCTCTCCGCACCTGGTGACTCGCCTGCTGATGCAGGTCTGTGCATGGTGCCTTCTCCTGCACTCACTGACCCAGGCTTGCACGCTTCTTCGGCACGGACTGTCCCTTTCAGCCCAGCATCCACATAGCTGCCACCTGCCACAGGCCCCCCCTGACTGCAGGCAGAGGGTTTCACAACAGCAGCAAGAAGTTCCTCTGACAAAACCTGCTCCCTGCCACTTGCACAAGCCTCCCGCTCAGGCTCAGCTTTGTCTCCTTCAGCCTGCTGTGAGAGGCTCTGATTCGGAGAGCCCTCATCCCCGGCATGGTCCCCAGGCCAGCCGGCTCCGGCAGCTACCCTGCCATGCTCCCCACCGCGCCGCTGGGCAAGCTCTGCCGAGCCTGCCGCCACCACTTCCTGGTTTTGTTTAGATTCTTCATTATGAATTACAGAGGGTGTGCCTATTAAATTATCCTCCGCACAGTCTGCACCCTTGGCACACGGAGCTAATCCGGAGTCATTACCTTGCAGAGCTGCCTCCTGCCCGGGAGGTGCCACTGCAGCATCTCCCTCCTGACTCACAGCAAGTCCCTCTCTTCTGGGTAGGGGAGCGAGTGATTTCATCTCGCCACTCAGCCCCTCTTGCTCCGAAACACTTTCTGCTATCTCCGCTTTGGTTTGTGCAGGCTCTTTTTCTGCCAGGCACGTGCTTGCATCCTCCGGAGGGAGTGATGCAGGCTCACGTTTACTCTCTTGAGCAGCGTCTGGTTTGAAGCTGTCGCCCATTTCATCTTTAACGACAGTTTGATCAGCAGAAGGGCGACAGCTAGCAACTTCCTGACCCCCATCTGCAGAATCTGCGCTTCCTCCATCTCCGCTGCTGCTGGTATCAGTTTCTACTGGCTCCTCTTTGCGGGCTTCACTGTCCTCCATTGCTTCAGCTGCACGTTCAGTGATCTTACCGCTCTCCTGGCAACATGCAGGTTCTGCACTGCTTTGATTAGATCCACCATCATCATCGTTTTCAGGTTTAACATCAGGGCCATCAGTTTCCACACTGTCTTCCAGTGAGGGCGAGCTGGATTTCCCATCTGTGCAACCTGCTTCCACCTGCCCTTCCCGCTCCCCACTCTTACCGCTGCCATGGATTTCCAAGCCAGGAGCAGGTTTTGATGCACATGCAGGAACCTTCACCCCATTCACTGCTGGCAATGCTGCCCCGGCGCTTGCAGTGACATCCTGCCTCGCTGCGACACGGGCATCGCCTCGGCTTTCCAAGAAGCCACTGTTTACCTGATCAGTGCATGAGTCCGCTCCAGTCTCCTTGTTATCGCCAGTCTTGCAAAGGTCAACAGAGACATCGCCAATGCCACCGTCTGCATTCGTACCGTCATGTGCAGGTACCACTCCCACATTTGCATCCTCCCCATCTGCACAGTCAGTGCCATTAAAACCACTGAGTAAGGGCTGAGCAGCACTGGCTGACTCTTCCTTAGCTGGCGATTGCTCTTCTAGGGTTGCAGTCCTCCTTTCACCGGCCTCAGCCATCCCATCCTCTACCTGCTGCTGGCCTGCCGCCCTCTCAGCTGCCCCTGTACAGTTCCTGCATTCAGTTTGGCCCATAGCCACATCCACGCCCTCCAAGGAAGCTGGGGCTTCGCCTGCAGTTTCAACCACAGTAACAGTACTGTCAGCTGCACACTCCTCGGCAGCTTGCGCTTCCTGATCGGGACTATCTTTACTGCACAAGGCGGCTTGATCCAAACCAACTCCAGCAGATGTCATTCCAGCTTCCTCATTTGTATTTCCACAGGATGGAAGATTTACGACACCGTTTACACTTGCACACAGGCTCACTGTGCAGTCCTTCTCATCTGATAGAGTCTCAGAGCCTTCAGCAGAGATTGGCCCCTCCTCTTCCTTTTTACTCAACGTCACTCTATTTTTGCTTTCACAGAAGCACTCTGGGCTCTTTGCATCCCCCAGGCTCAGCAAGTCATTTGGCACGTCATTAAAAGCTCCCAAACTCCTGCTGTTGCATTTCTCCTCCTGGTAGGTTTGGTCCGAGAGCTGCCCGATGTCCAGGTGAACAAGAACAGATGGACTTTCCTGCCTTTCTTCTCTTGCCATTTCTTCCAGGCTCTGAGAGGTAGAGGCCAGGTGACCATCTGGCTCTGCTCCTTTAGCACAGCTGTCTCCAGAATCTCCCAGAACAGGCTCTGTCTGCTGCCTTAAACTCTGTAACAAGATTTAAAAAAAAAAAAAAGAGAGATTATTTTCCTTTGTCGCACATTTACACTGTCTCCACATTCTATAAGATCTGTATCTACATAATCCTATTTAATGTGACTCCTGCTCCCTCTGTACCTCTACCTGGTGTCCTTCGGGACAGAGTTACAGTGGGTATTTTACGTGTTGGTTTTGTTAAGCAGTAATACTGAAATTATTCGAATGACAGAAACGTTGGTAGGAAAGTGCACCTGGAGGTCCTCTAGTCCAACCTCTGGCCTGAAGCTGGACTATCACAAATGCGACATCAGGTCAGCCATGACTTTGTCCTGCCAAGTCCTCATAACCTCTGATGACGAAGTACCCACCACCTCTCTGGGCAATCTCCTCCTGTGCCACACCACGCTCCCATGAAGGAGTTTTTCCTAACAGCCAGCCTGAACCCCCTGAATACGCAGTTTGTCCTTCTATCCTCTTGTTACACCATCTGCCACCACTGAGAAGAGTTGTAATCTTTGAATTGTCCTTTAAGCAGCTGTAGTCATAGTTCTTGAATGCACTTAAATTCAAGATCAGTAAACTGCAGAATTCAATCTACCAAATAACGCAAATATATACCAGTCTAGTCCCAAAGTGTTTGAGCAAATTCTGCTTAAGAGCAACTGCAGATCCCTGCCCAATGGCACTCCCCAGTTCTCATCAGCATTGCTCAATTTTCTTATATTGATGGAAACGCTACTTCAGACCTGGGAATTGGCTGACGATGTCCAAACACCACCACTTGTCTCCTACTCCTAGGACTGAACTAATCATCTAATCTACTCCTGAGAATTGCATGCATAATTAAGTATCTGAAATTTACTTCCTAAATGGAAATAAAAATTTGAAAATTATGACATACTATTAAAATTAATATGTGCATTATCGTGGAACAGTAGCAGCGTACTCAATTCCTCTCTAATCTGCATTTTCCTTCCAGAGCATGTGCTTTGTCAAGGATCCCCCAAGCTTTTATCATTTGATACAATCAAACCTGTACTTAAAAAGAACTGTTTCAAAAATCTTATTTTTTATTCTTTTTGCTGCATACCAATGTTCACATCTTAGAAAAAGTGACTTGTTAAATTGATGAGCGACCTCAATCCTTCAGTGTACACCCCACAGAGCTTCCTAGGGTTTTGCACCATAAGCTTTCAGAGGTCATGCTGGTTTCTCAGTAAGTGCCTGTGACTCTTCACAAATACAAAACTAATGAACTACTGCAAACCTGTTATTTTTTGCATTTATTTGTAAAAATACTCCAAAAAATACATGCATCCCAGAAGCCTAACTTAAACAGGTCCCTGCAAATTTTGTTTAAGACTCCAGTTCTCAGAGAAATAGAATTTCATACCAAAAATGTCAGCTTAAACACCCCTTTTCTCCCTGAATATTAAAACGGCCAATATGTTAATTGATGCATCACAGGGAACTTCTGGGTATTGCATATACAAATAGTGGCTAAAATCACCACTGCTACGTTGAGGATATTGCGTTCACTTGTCTTTCCACACTGAGGTTTGCAAATGATGAGCACCACCACTGAATCACAGACCACTAAACCTACTTCTGGTGTTTGCCATGAATCTCCTATTAAAAATAGTCCTGCTACCCAGCTCCCCTATATACTGTCACCTATACCAGAGCTCCCTGTCTCTGAGGCATCCCAAGACAGGTTAGCATCAGAGGCAGGCAGCATGGCACCTCCATCCATCGCGTAGCACCAGGGATGGGACGCAGGGCCTCTGCACGCAGCAGGACCCGCAGGCTGCAGCTATTTTTTGCAAGGGCAAACAAACAGGATCAAACAGCATGCCGGCCGTCTGGTGGCTATAACCCCGCAGCAGAGCATGGAGACCACACTGCTGGTTCCCAGCCAGGACGGACAGACACAGACAACACAACCAGGACAGACAGATGAAGACAACAGTGACGCTTGCTTGGGAACAAGCAAGTTTTTCAAAAGGAGGGGCCACGGCAGCCCCAGCATCCTCACAGTGAAGTCAGTCTGCCGATAGCCTGAAAAATAGAGCCGTCTCCAAAGGAAGCCAACTGGCTTTTAACTGACCTGAAATGAACCTAAATGAAATAATTACAGGGCTGCTTTCCAAATTCAAATCAGATTAGATGTGAAGTGAAACAGTGCTGGAAAGAAAAAGTCTAAACATAGCCTTTTCTGATTTCATTGTCAGGCAAAATGTACCCATCTGGCATTCGCATGAGCAAACAAGAAGCGAGCTGGATATGTCGGCCATGCTTTAGTGTCTTTCGATGGAAAGGGGAAGCGATTTCACGGTTAGCCTGGGTTTGCCACTCATGCCACCAGTTCCTGTTGAGATTGGGAGTAATTAACATCTCAGGCACCCAGGGAAGGGTGAAAATGGCTCAGGGTAGCCCATACCTCTGAACGTCCCCCCAGCCCACTGGCTGCAGACGATTCTCCCCCTTCCTTAGTTAAAGGAACAAAAATATCCTGTTATTTAGTTTCCACACCTCTGTAACAGCGGACGTATGAGCTGGTGAAGGAACACCCAACAAGTGATGCCAGCTGCACAAGACGCGTGGGTGTTTCTGAGAAGTGGCACAGAAGTGTCCCGCTGTTTCACCTTCCTGTCCCAACCAAGTCCCTGTGGCACCTATTTTAAAGCAGCGAGAGGAAGCCCTTCCAAAGCCCCACGGCTCCTGTGGTCCAACCGCTGTGAGGTCCGAGAGGAGCGCAGCGAGGGGATCACTATGGACATGCACGCCGTGTGGCCAGGGCAGGCTCGTCCTCCGAGTCCTACACTGAGGTGCTAAGGAAACGGCTGTTTTCTCCATCACCTGCCCCAGAGACTTTCCCCTCAGTCTCCTCTCTGACCCTGAACTTTCCATCTGAACAGAGATGTACCCACCGCGAACAGCCCCCCTCCAGAGCCTGCCTTCTGCTGCCTGATGGCTGCCAGACACCCTGGAGGGACAGTCCACCTCCAGGGAGGTTTCCCTGCCCATCCAAGAGGGTCCCAACCTAACAGAGAAGGCAGGAGCTGGGAGGAGAGACAGCTCACGAGGCCAAGCAGAGTCAGCGTTGCACAGCCCCAAGCCTGCTTCTCTTCTGAGAGAGAAAATTTGCTGCCTAGTACAGCTTTATCAGATCTCCCCATGCTCAAACGAGAAGAAAACAGGCAGGTGTCCACCTGGATGCTTGGCTAATGACATCCAGAGAAAATGTCGAGATAAATACACCCCCAAAGGGTGCCTACGTGGGGAAGTTCTCCCCAGGTGCCAGGCTGCTTGTGAGGCAGCAATCAGCCAGCTCCACTTTTCTTTCATGATCTCAGCCTTTTCCTTACCGTGTGCTGGTGGCTCTGCATGTGCATCTGAAGGTGCTGTATGTCACTCTCCAAGCTGGCTGCTACCCCTTCCTTGGCTTCAGCCGTCAGCATGTAAACGTTGAGCTTGCGGTGGTGCTTCACGCTGTAGTCCCCCGAGTACACCGTGTGAGACAAGGTGCTCCAGGAGTCCGGTTCCCTGGCTTCCTCTCTGCAATAAAACAAGCACGGGTTAATCTGCAGGCGAGGAGGGATGCTGCATTGCAGGACACGCACACTGTTCTTCACTCTGGACAGTCATCTAATCAACGGCCCGAGCGAAACAGAGCACTGGCTCCAGGGCCAGACAGACAAATACACATGCACGCTTCTCAGTCTTGAAAATTAATGTGATTTAGAGTTAATGCCAGTCATAAGCTTTATTTCACAAGGTCCTTCTCAGCTGGAGACCTGCTTTTTTCCCCCAGACTATGAAAGACTAGCAGCAAAGGGCACAATAATTGCTTTTTAAAATGGAATTTATTGCAGGTGAAGATCACCAAAGCAGCTGTTGCAGAAAAACAGACACCTGAAAGACAGAACTGCAGAGGGACAAGTTAGAAGGAATGAGCATTATCATGATACAGATGCTACAATTTCTACACCGAAACCAGCAGGCCGCTTCACAGTCACCCAACAGCCATCAAATCGTAGCAATTTTTTCACTCCTGAAATGAGTTCAACTTGCTCTGTGCAACTGCTTCTGTGCAAGATGTACTCAATATTGTGAGACAGCTGTACTGCAGCAGTATTACGGATTTTCTTTTTACCAATTAAAAAGAAAGAAAGGAAAAAAAGATGCCGTTGTAGATCAGAATGAAAAAATAACTCAGCAGTTACATGTATTCAGTAGAAATTTCTATTCAGTCATCTCTTTTCAAATGTCAAACCCTGATTTTGCACAGGCTTGCAACTCTAAGCAGTAATTCTTCAGGTCTCACCAAGCTGCACAGAGGCTGCGTTGTTGCTACTTTAAGGGGGTGAGGAAACATTTATCTTATCGAGGTGTTCATCTAAAGCTTCAGGTTTACAGATTTAACTTTGAATCAGAACTGATTCAGGAAACGCAAAATCTGTTTTAATTGTCCCGGGACAGAGCGGGTCACACAGGACTCTCCTGAGCGCCACATTCCCCGGGAGAGATGTGGAGCCGAGCAGGAACGTTACGGGAACAGGGGCTTACGCTGACCTGCTCAGGGATAGAAGAAATGGAAATTTCTCTGTTTTCCTTTCACTAGGGATGCATCTACCAAGAGCTGAGAGCACGTCCCCTCCCCGTCACGGAGACCAGCCCCTGTTACAACAGGCATCCCCAGATGTCCCTTTGCAGCACAGCTACAGACTTCCCTAGAAGGGACAGAGCTGTGATTATACGCAAATAATTATGAATTCAAGAAGGTACATATACAGCAAATGTATACCATCAACCAGGCAGAATTACACATAGATTTCAGCATCTTTGCTGACTGGTTTCTTACTTTAAAAGTAGCAAAACTTTCTAACGGGCAAGTGCCCACCTAGCAAACCACAGGGATACCTCTCTGGGAAGCCACACAATTTAGAAAGCAAAGTTGTAACAAGCAAACGACACCACGACTGGCAACAGTAAAGAGCAGAGCAGGGTGGGGAAACGGCTGGACGGTTCATCATATGGCAGAGAAACCTGTGCAGACGATGGTGGTGGCAGCGGCTGTCCCTGCTCTGTCCCAGCACAACCACCCGCCCCCTTCTGTGACTCATTTTGGGCTAAATCTGCAACGAAATTCAGACAAAGTGAACCTACGTCTTCCACCATTCACCACCATGTAACTCAACTGACTTCAGCAGAATTACTCTTGATTTAAACAGAATCAATATTTCCACAGAGAAACAGAAGGAAGCATTCAGTTTTTGGTGGTGATTAATATAAATCGATGGAGGCACTGAAGTCAACTGAGCCATTACAAGTGACTAAAGAATTGACCTTCCTTTATCAAGGAAACACAGACATTTCTGTCTGGAGTATTTTTCTTTTCAGCTGTCATACATGAGAAACTACTGTTCTCAGGGCCACTCTCAGAGTACAACGAGGCAGTCAGCACAAAACCCATATTCACCCGCTCACGAGGACAACATCAGCCGGATTAAAGAACCGAGCGCGATGAGTCTGCTCCACTTTCTCATCAGCTTCAAGTACACTTATAAGCATCTTCAAATCAGCAGCCACAAAGCAGCCTGCACGACTCAAGCCTTAAAGGACCCTCGGCGACTTCAAAAGCCTCAAAATCTGTAGTGAGATGACAGCAAGCACAGTCGCCTGCAACACTGTGAGCACACCCACCCCTCCTGCAATCTACCACCTTCACCTTCACACGGCCCGGACGGATCAAATAATCACTTCTGCTTACAAAGACAGCAATTTCTTTTCATATTCAAGCTGCTGATCTGTGTTACACTCTTTAAAGGGCTTTAAACCTTTTGAAAAACCAAGATCTTTCTCACATCCGGCCAACTACAAACAACTCCAAGCTCCCATTTTTAGTAGCAGTTACCTACATTGCACAAAATCAAGCAGAGAGATAGTGGATGTCTCAATCTACTGACTCCTTCAAATCATCCCTTTCATACACTGCTGCATCCCAGCACCAATGGACTGCAGCAGAGAGGACAAATGGGCATTCACAAGCTTTAACTTGCTTGCACATTGCTATTTCTGTTGTTCAGGCAATCATTTCCAAGGGCACGTAGATCACATGAGAAGACCGTCCTGCTCGTTTGTCTTCATACATTGAGCTCAACCGTTTGTGTCTCTCCTGCATGTCTCATTGCAGTCCCTGGGTTTTACTGAGAGGTGATAAAAACACATTTTCTTCCAGGAAAAAAAAAGCTTTGCAGTCATATATTTTGTACTCACTGGTTGTGAAAGATGCTTATTTTGTACAGATTAGGAATTTCTGTGGTGGTTGTATACAAGTGCATACCCAAGCCTGTCTACTAGGAGATAAAAACAGATATGCAAATATTTACTGAAGATTTATTAACAAAAATGTACACAGAAACTCCAGCATTCGAGAAGTCTGAAAATCTGCTTCCATTCAGCACAAAAATTCAGTTTGCTGCAGTTTGCCAGCAACAAGGGAAATCAGTCTTCTTATGAGGTTTAACCATCCTGAGTCAATTCTTTCTCATCCTCCTCTTTCAACAGCTTCCCACGGAAATACAGAAAAGATACCAGTGAACCGAAAATTTCATGGGCATCATCTCACTTTTGCAGAAGAAAATATCTTGCTTAGTTAAAAAAGCAAGGACGGACTGATAAGGTTGACAGCATTCACTAGCTCCACCCTCGGCACAAGCATGCCATGTCCCACTGAAAAAGTCTGGAAGAAGTCCTCCAGCTCGAGTCTCTGCTTCTTGTGCTGCAGTCTTCTGTCCCATGGAGGTAAACCCAGATGGGAAATTGCTGGCTTCAGGAAAGGACAGACTTACCAGCCAGCCCTTCAGCCACTGAAAGGTGGCGCAAAGAAGGATGCCAACCCCAAACAGGGCAAGAGGAGAAGCAAACAAGCCTCCAAAATACTGTTGGGCCATGCCCTGCTCAATCTGGGAGCTGGTAGGATTGCTCAAACCGCAGCATCACCTCCTGCCCATTTGGCACACAAAACAAGATGATAGGTAGTGGTTTTTAGACCTCCCAGCATCACCCAAGTAGACTCGTCCCTGGCAAAGGAGGAGCCTTACTGTACTCATGTGCTGAATCTCTTTTTCGTCTCGCGGAGGAGCAGATAGGATGGCCCCAAGCCAGCGAGCGGCGGAAAGAGGGAGAGGAAAGCCTGCACCGACACAGCACGGCTCCCGGCTTCCTGCAGATACGGGCGAGATATTTTTAAGAGGAGGAAAGATAAGTGAGAAAGGGAGAACAAAAAAACCCAAGCAAAAGCTCTTCAAAAGCTGCAGAAACTGTGCTCGGTGACAAAGGTTTGAAATTCGGCGGTGCCGATGCTCCCGGCAGGCGTGTTTTCCGGTACAGAGATAACAGGTTTTGAACGGAAGGGAGAGGAAGAGGAGGGGGAAGAGAACAGAAGACAAACAAAAAAGCCTCAGTGGGTTAAGCAGAACCTCGTGTTAGGAAGATTTATCCTACAGTTTTACAAGTGGGCAAGGAAGGCAGTGTGGGAACTCAAGGTGTTATTTCCTCGGGATATCCCCTCCAGATTTCTGAGCCGGACTTTGGCTGAAACAAAACAAACTCAGTAGTATTGCCGGCTCTTACAATATTACCGCAAGCCTGACAACGGCTGCGGGTTTATTCTCAAAGCATCGGCCCCCAGATTCATGTGATAAAGAAGAAAGAAAAAAAAAAACCAAACCACTTTTTTTTTTCCTTCTTAAATTAAACAAAGCCCCTAGTATTACGGTTGCGTGAAAAGCTAGGAAATGCTAGAATTTAGATGCTCTTATCTATAAGGCAAATAAAAACTAAACTAAACTGAATTTTAATCTTACATCCATATTCAAATTCTGAATTATTACTGTTCTTATAATATTACACTGAAAATACTAGATCAGACTGTGATCTGGGATAAACAAGGAACGGTGCCTACTGGGACAGGATGCCAGACTTGGTGGCGACTGCACAACACATCCGTAGCACAGGCAATTTAAATCGAGCCAACAATCCCTCCTGTGAAAACCCAGCACCCAGACTTGATGCATTCATCAGCAGCTAAACCCAAGAAGTCTTAGAAATCTGACAAAATAGAACTTCAACGCTATTTGCAGAAGTGTTGGGGTAATGGAGGCTTTGTATACATATGATCAGCTTTGCACCCACAATCTTTAGTGATATACAAAACACTAGCGCACACAAACACTTTCTTGCTCCTCCTTGTTTTTGTAACCATCGATATGCATTGTATGTGAGACTCAGAAAACACGTGCAACTAGTATGTGCTAGAACAGGTTAAAACAAATTAACCATTCGTAAATTTGAAAGATATTTAACAAACACAGCATTCATACTTCAGGTGTTTCCAAGTGTTCCAAAAGCCCCAGGAAAGTAGGGGGGGGAAAAGTTTCTTATATAAGAAAATTTTATAGATCACTCGCTAATTTGAATACTTTTGATGTTGAAGGAAAGAGTTAAAGTTCACCCGATGTAGAAATGATGACTAACTCCTTACAGTGCTTCGC